GGATCAGACGCTCAACTGACTGAGCTACCCTAGGCGCTTGGGGAAATATATATTTGAAACAAGAAAAATATCCATGATAACATTAAAGCTTCTTGCCCTATCTCGAAGTAGAAACTATTTTTAAAGCTACTCAATTAACATATAATACAATATTACAACTAAGAGCAACAACATTCAGGTTGCTAAAATTATCAACATTTAAAAAAAAAAATACAGATCAGGAATTTTGAATTAACTTTCTCACTCACGAATTTCATTCACACATGTGGATTTGAAAGGCTTATTGTTTAATTTTTATATGGTAAAATTAAATTTAGTATATCTTAACTAATTTTTAAAATGATCAGACTGAAATTAAAATGTAATTCTCTATTAAATTAGCTTTTGTTAATTAAGTTTAAATTTAAATTATATTTTAGCTTAAATTAAATTAAGCTTTTGCTCAATTATGAGTAAACCACTTTTTTCACAAATATCCTAAGAAAAATGTTTAAGCATTGAAACTCCTGAAAGCTTCTATTTATTACCTATCCATCATCAGTAGACTATAATACAAATCATCCACTCTCTTTCACTAACTTTTAGAGGTAAAAATGTTAAGCTTAACATTTAGTCACAGTGTATAACATCATATAACACCTGCTATGCTAGAATTGATAGATAGTAACTTTCACCATTTATAAGAACTATATTCTCAGATAAAGTCAAAAGAACTACTGACTAGGTCCATATTTCAATAATTCAAGCATTTGAGGACTAAAATATACAAAGCAATGAACTACTGGCACAAAATGAAAAACTTTTATCTACAGAAGCTGTGAACAATTTTAGGAAATTCTTTTGATGAGAACTTCAGCAGATCTCCAGAGGTTAACATACAATAATCAATGAGACAATAAAGATAACATGTAGCAATAAATCTAAATTTCTTTAAAAAAAAATGGGGAAGAGCCTCTTTAATCTGGAATAAAAATGTATAATTTCATAAAGCAATAATTCTATAAAATCTAAACCCTGCAATGGAAGTTTAAGAGGATTCTTATGGCTCAAAAGCATGATACAGAAAACATCTAGAAAGCAGGAAACCTATACAATTCTCCAGAAAAATCAGTACATGGTAGGAACAAATAAAGAAGGAATTTTAAAATTCATGATTATTAAAGGAAATAAATTTTAAAACTAACATTGAACAGTAATACTTGTATTCAGCTCATTTTTAAATATTTTTTTAATGTTTATTATTTTTGAGAGAGAGACAGAGACAAAACATGAGCAGGGGAGGGGCAGAGACAGACACACAGAATCTGAAGCAGGCTCCAGGCTCTGCGTTGTCAGCACAGAGCCCCACGCAGGGCTCAAACTCACCAACTGTGAGATCATGACCTGAGCTGAAGTCCAATACCTAACCAACTATGTCACCCAGGTACCCCATTCTTCATCATATTTTCAGAGACTATATCCTGAGTTGCACAGACCACAGATTTGATCCAGTATGGCAATTCTCCTATCTTAAATTATTATTTGCCATCTCCCTTATAAGCTGCATTGAATACTTTCCTATGTTTCTAGCACCCTGAGTATTTTCCGTCTCACCTATCTGGGATTAAATTAGACCATGGTTTAAAATGGGTTCACCTGGGGGAACCTGGGTGGCTCAGTCGGTTGGGCGTCCAACTTAGGCTCAGGTCATGATCTCACAGTTTGTGGGTTTGAGCCTTGCATCAGGCTCTGTGCTAACAGCTAGCTCAGAGCCTGAAGCCTGTTTCAGATTTCTATCTCCCTCTCTCTCTGACCCTCTCTTGCTCATGCTCTCTCTCTCAGAAATAAATAAAACATAAAAAAAATTTTTAAATGGGTTCACCTGACTAATACTAATTTACATTTTGGTAAATATTAATTTTCTACATTAGTTAATTTGACAAAATATCCCAGTTGAGTCCTCTCTCTGGCATTACCAAACAGAATGGCTTATCTTGTTTTGTGCCCCAGGTAAAAATGTGTTACAAAACAGATTACAATGCGTCTTCAGTGTCTAGTTGCTCTAGTGTTTGTCATTTTTAAATATGAAGGTATGAATACTGACATAAAATGTGTTGAGTAAAATTAAAACAAAGGCCAAATGGGGTGTCTGGCTGGCTCAGTAGGTAAAGCATGTGACTCTCAATCTCAGGACCCTGAGTTTAAGCCTGACCATTGGGCATGGAGCCTACTTTAAAAAAAAAAAAAGTGTAAACAAAGGCCAAACAGGAAAGCAAATTCACAAGGAAAACTAAAGTATTTGACATTCTTATATGAATGAAAATAGGAAGTCAAAAAAAATCCCTTTACCACTGGATTCATTCATTCTCTCTCTCTCTCTCTTTCTCTCTCTGATTTTATTTTTAAGTAATCTCTGTACCAACGTGGGGTTCAAACTCACTACCCTGAGATCAAGAGTTGCATACTCCACTGACTGAGCTAGCCAGGCACCCTCCCATTGGATTTTCTGTTACATTTTTTCTTGATGGAAAATGTTCCTAATGTATAACAAGTCAAACCTACAAAACATCAATGCCATCAAGATATATTATCACATAGTTTTTCTGTTTCAGGGTACTCTAGAAACCTAGAAGTTCTTTCCATGAGTACCATACTCTAATGGGAAAAACACTAGGTTCTAGTCTGAGATCTAATACTTGTGGGATGCCAGTGATGGGTCACTTAAAATTTCTGGATTCTTAGTTTTCCTCCTGCCTTTTCTTTATCATAAAATTATTTTAAAACCCATAGTTAATACATGACATGCTTTTAAAATTCTACATAGCTCTAAAGTGTAATTTCACTTCAGGAACTAGTAATAGTATAAATGTTCAATCAAGATTAGCACTGGTTCAAGAATCACTTATGACCTGTAAAGAGGATTTCAATTCTATTCAGTGCTACCAAAAAGAGGCCTTTCCTTGAGGCAATTACTCTGTTTCAGTGGTTCCCAAAGCTGGCTGCTCAGACTGATGTTTAAGAATCACTGCTTCTTAAAAAGGCTTCATCTCTGAGATTTAACTCAGACAACCCAACAAAAACCCTGCAAGGCAAGCACATTTCTTTATTTGAAAATCAGACCCTGAATAGGAAAGTATGAAAAAGATTAGCACTCAGAAAATGACTATTACTTCCTACCTACCCAAGAGTTTGACTACTGTCCATACTGATCTTCCTTCTTTCATCCTATGCCCATAGCTACCTTCTGCCTTGGAGGCAATCATCCACAGATACTAACCTCTGCTCCTGATCACAAAAACAAGGCTAGTAAGTTTCTTGGATTTATTATTCCCAGAAACAGAATAAAAACTAAAATAAAGAGATTCAATAAACTATGAAAGAAGAAAAAAAGAGATTCAACAGTCTTTAACACAAAGATTTATAAAAGAAAACAAGGGCAATTACCAAAAATTAAAAGAACAGCTAGTATAACAGGTGTTATAGTATAAGGTAAGCAAGAAATTAAGAAATGTAATTTTTATTTAATTTATTATTCTTTTAATGTTTATTTTTGAGAGAGACACACACACAGAGTGTGAACAGAGGAGGGGCAGAGAGAGAGAGAGAGAGACACAGAGTCTGAAGCAGGATCCAGGCTCCAAGCTGTCAGCACAGAGCCCAATGTGGGGGTTGAGCTTACAAACCATGAGATCATAACCTGAGCTGAGGTCAGACGCTCGACTGACTGAGCCACCCAGGTGGCCAAGAAATGTGATTTTTAACCCACCATGTACTATCTCCCAGATTATTAACAACACTCTCACAATCTGTCTTGAATCAACTAAAGTGTCCTAAACACTGTGAAAATAAGGGGAAACCTCATGAAAATGAGTCAGGAGACCAGAAGGGGAACTTCTCACACCTACAACTAGTCATCAACTGCAGACCCCAACACAATGAGAGGTACCTTGCCTTCTAAACAAGAAGAAGCCTATCCTTTACTACCACTGCAGGAGGAAGAAAGATTTTCACCTTGCCCAGCAACAGCTCAGCTGCTGAGAAACTGTCACAACTCTGCCAAGGAGTAGCTACTACACTTTGAACTCCATTTACTCCAATGGACTTTTGCTTCTAACAGTCTCTCCCACCTTCCTCCTTTCCTCTATACAAGGTCATTCTCCTTTGTTCTCAAGAACTGCCTGTGATTTTGCCATAGCTTGCCTGTCCTGAATCTAATGCTCTGCTATTCCCAAATAAACCCACTTTGCTGGTAAAGTAACCAACAGTTTTATTTCTAAGGTTAACGCTAATTGATAAACTGCTAAGGTTTCTTTCATCCAAGAACCTCCCAATCTACCAAGTTTAGGAAAAAACACAACTTCATACTCATCATTCCCCTCACCATTTCCTTCCCCTCTTAGCATATTCTTCCAGAGAAATGTTACCATAATATTACCTCTGTAATAACCCTGCCAAAGAGATTTAGTCTGAATCTTATGTTGGGGAAACAATTAGACAAAACAAAGGGCATTCTGCAAAACAACTACCCTGGGCACTTAAGCTATTTCAACATAATCAGTGACCATGAAAAGCTGGGCACCTGTTCTGGATTAAAGGAGCCTAAAAAGGAAAGACAGGTAAATGTAATACGCGGTTCTTTATCAGAAAAAAAGTAGCTGTAACGGACACTGCTGGGACAACTGGAAAAATGACTGTAACAATACTAACTTTCCACATGTGGTAATAGGTACGGGTCCTTATGTTAGAGAAAAAATCCTTTTCCTTAGGAGATACACAGTACTTAGTTTAGAGGTGCGATATCACTACTTCTCCATAAACTCTCAAATGGTCAAGAAAAAGTTACGTGCATGTGCTTGTGTGTGTGTACAGAGAGAGGAAGAAACTAAACGAATATGGCAGAATGTTAACTTTTCAAACTCAGTCAAGGATACTCAGGGGCTTGTTTTACTAGTCTTGCCAGTTTTCTGAATGTTTGAAATTTTCAAAAGAAGACACTGAGAAAGAAATGAAATGTTACTCACTAGTTGTTTGACTTTAACTGCCTGTGGAATACCAGCCGGCTGAGAAAGGACAGGGCCCGGGGGTGCAAGTTTGATCTGGACTGGAGCAATGACAGGCTTGTCAGATGTGGTCCCAGCAGAGGTCATGACAGGTTTCACAGACGGAAGACAGATAGCTGCTGCTGAAGGTTCTCCGAAAGTCACCGCGGGGAGGGCCAGTGTGACTGCTGCCCCAGAGACACCTGGCTTCTCAGGCGGAAGGGTGACTGCTGTGACTGTGTTCTGTATAGATGTCACAAGTGGTTTTGGAGTCTGAAGCAAAACAGTTCCAGCTGCTGTTGCTCCTGGTGCAGCAGGTGGGCCCACAGAATGAAGTGTCACAGCTCCTGGTTTTGCTCCCCCTGGGCCAGCAAGTGGATTCAGAGCTGGCACTGACACAGTACTGGGTGCTGCTGCTCCAGAAGCGACGATGGGTTTTTCAGACTGGATGGAGCAAACTGTTGTCGTCACCACGGGAGAAGTTGCTGCTGTTGTGGTACAGGTAGCAATGGCTACCTCGCTACCAGTCTGCTGAACACACTGCTGAATAAAGCTCTGGGAGTTGGGCATGAGTTGTCGTAAGGCAATCACACTTTTCTAGAAACAGGGGAGAAAAAAGAACCTGATTAAATAAATCAACTGCTAGTAAAACTAAAGGATTTAGTATTGCATAGCTTTGGCTTTTTCATAGCTTTACAACATAAAATAAATCAAAAGTATATCAGGTGTTTCAGTTGAGGAATTCTGGTATCACTTCAAATTCATATCCTGTCAAAATTCAGGATACAATCAATTTAAAGCCCCAAAGTGCTTTATTTTTTCCATAGGTAATTATATCTCAGTATTAAACTTATTTTATATACCTCAATATCAATAAAAACACTGTGTCACACTTGTTTATATTTACCTATACCCCATAATAAATCACTAATAACTTTAGTACCTATGTTTGTTTTATGATAATAGAATCTGCAAAAAAAGGTTTTGGTAAGTAACTTTCAAGCTTTGGATAGACAAGAGTCTTTATTTTATTTTTTTATTTGTTTTTTAAACCTTAGTTTTATTTATTTATTTATTTTTACAAATAGTTTATTGTCAGGTTGGTTTTCATATAACACCCAGTGCTCATCCCAAGTGCCCTCCTCCATGCCCATCTCCACCCCCCCAACACCCATCAGTCCTCAGTTCTCAGCATTCAAGATAGACAAGAGTCTTTAAATCAAAATAAAATACAAAAAAAAAAAAAAACAAAAATAAAACTAATACAAACAAGGTCAATTTCCTTAATTGAGCTAGAATATTTTCATTCATTCATTCATTCATTCATTCATTCATTCATTCATTTGAGGGAGACAGAATGCAAGTGCATGCATGCAGGAGAAAAGCAGAGGGAAAAGAAAGGAGATAGTCTTTTTTCTTTTTTGGGGGGTGGGAGGGGAAGGAGAGAATCTTAAGCAGGTTCCACGCTCAGGATGGAGCCCAACTCGGGGCTCAATCTCATGATCTGAGCCAAAACCAAAAGTTGGACACTTAACCGACTAAGCCCCTCAGGTGCCCCAAGTTAGAATATCTTGACTGGATTTTACATTGGTATCTCTTCTTATATCTTTTTAAAAGAGTAAATAAAGGCAGGGGTGCCTGGGTGGCTCAGTCGGTTGGGCATCCGACTTCAGCTCAGGCCATGATCTCACGGTTCATGGGTTCGAGCCCTGCGTCAGGCTCTGTGCTGACAGCTCAGAGCCTGGAGCCTGTTTCAGATTCTGTGTCTCCTGTCTCTCTGACCTTCCCCTTCTCACGCTCTCTCTCTCTAGGAAATAAATTAAAAAAAAAAAAAAAAAGATAAAAAGAGTAAAGGCAGTTACTTTTTTATAAAAGGTAAAACATTCTTTTTGTCCCTGGGGATTTTGTTTTCAAGTAAGAAAAAAGAAAATGGAAAGGGAGTCAGATAGTAGGTTATCTTTTAGTGAAGTCAAGGACTGTTTGGAAGTTTTCCTTGTTTTGACACTTAAATTCAGTCAGGCTGCCTTTGTTTGTTTAAGAAGCAAATGAGAACCAGGTTGTCTGGGTGGCTCAGTGGTTTAAGAAGCAAATGAGAACCATTGTTCCTTCTTTCCTTTCCTTTTAGTTACTTCCCTTACTTTTTTTAATTAAAAAGAATTGAAAATCTGCCTAAAGGTTTTCAAATATGTATATAAATGGTAACAAAGGAAAGTAAGAAACAAAGTCTCTCATAATCTTTTTCCAAACTTTAAAAACAAGTTGCTTTGGAACCACATGAACAGATGAAGCGATTTGATCAAATTTAAGTTAGAATTCTAATATGATGGGGTCCTGAGAACACATTTTTCAATTGTGTAACTGAAAAAATGTTAAAATAATGAGACTCAAAAAGATAATAAAAAATGTATGCCTAAATTATCTCTTGATCAGATGGCCAGAGTTAAGCTTAAATGTTGAATCCCTCATCTTTATGCCATAGTCAACATCCAAAAGCTTTCAAAGATGAGAGGGAAAAATTCTCAAGGAAAAAAAAAATCACAAAGCTTAACAGGTCCTTAAAAAAATACATACAGGAATATCTGGGTGGTTCAGTCAGTTAAGCTTCTGGCCCTTGATTTCAGCTCAGGTCCTGATCTCACTATTTGTGAGACTGAGCCCCACACGTTGGGCTCTGTGCTGACAGCATGGAGTCTGCTTGGGATTCTCTCTCTTCCTTTCTCTCTGCCTCTCCCCCTCGCTAATGCAAACATGTGTACATGCATGCGCGCACTCTCTCTCTCAAAATAAATAACCTTAAAAAAAAATACATACAAAACACAAATACTTCCTAGTGTAACATTTGATAACTTAAAGTTAGTATTATCAAACAAGTAGAATAAATTCTGGACCTGTGACCTTGATAAAAAAATTAGTCAATTTAAATAGTTTTTATATCTCCAAAATAGAAAATACTATGAAATCTAGCACCTAGTAATCTCAAAAAGACTGATAACGAAATTTAAGTGCAAACAACGCAAATTTAAAAAGTATCTAGAAAAGCATAGGATGCGTAATAGAAGCCTGCTGATTATCTCCATTCTCCCCCATGGTGTCTCCAGGGAGCATGAAATATAGATAAATTCAAGAGTTTTCTGTGTCATGTAGACAACCTATAGCTCACAGAAATTAGGCATTGAAAGGGACCCAAGGAAGAACTGCCTCTAACTTCTCAATCAAGAGGGTCATCCAAAAGCAGGGCAGTAGCCATTTGATATTAGGCATTACGCTGAACCTGCAATCTGCCTTTTCCCAGACCAAGTATCCTCTAGCTAAAAACATTCTCAGTTTCTATAGCCACATTTCATATCACATGACTGGCACCCTCCTAATCAACGTGCTCACCCTTCTAGTGACAGTTTCCACTGTTTAGTATCCTTCTGAAGGGGTACCCCACTTCCCTTCCAACTCTTCTTTCATGAGGCAACCCAAAGGAGTCTTCCACTGTGACACGTCTTGCATCTCTCCTAGACAATGACGCCAAATATTTCTAAAGGTAACGCCTCATTCCATTATTTCAAAATTTATGGGATGACTCTGTGGTTCACTATAATCCCAGGTCTTTAAGGACTGTATAAATTTCAATTTGATTCCTCTTCAGCTTCTGAATATCCAAAAAAAATTGACTTTTATAGTCTCTTGTTATCAAAGTTACTGTTCTATTTAATTCAGCAATTCTTCAAAAAGAGCATTCCTACTAAGAGTTTTTAAAAATAACAGCTCTCCCACTAAATTTGGCACTATGTGATTTGTTATTTCTAGCACAATATAAGTCATTAGGACAAAGCAGAAGGCCCTACTTTGAAGGAAAAGTCAAGATATTTGAGGATATAAGCTTTAACAACGTAATCATTACGTGCTGTTCATGAATGAGATGTTACTTCTATTTTCTCAAAGTGCTCCAATCCAAAGAATATGGACTATAAATGTTCTTAACAGATAACAACAGTTGAGAGCTTTCTTCTACATTGTTAGTATCTTCTCATTAAACTATCATATTGAAATATTCAGGTTTTCAATTATTTTTTAAATGATTATAAAGTAATCTAGTCCAAAGAATTTCTTCAAAGTAACACACAACTTTACCTTAAGAAAAGGAACTAAATGAGGCTGAGGTGAAGACTTGAGTTCAACATACAGTTGTCTAGTAAATTCTTCTGCTTCAATTTTTGCATCCTGAGGAACAGGAGAAAGAACAATACTTTTAGGTTTACAAAATTCTAAAAGAGAAAAGGTATGTAATTCATTATTGATGTAAGGAGGTAAAAGACCTACCTGTATTCTGAAAACTGTAAGATGTTAATGAACAAAATTAAAGAGGACACAAGTAAATGGGAACATATACCAAGCTCATGGGACTGGAAGAATAACATGTTCATACTAACCAAAGCAATCTACAGATTGAACGCAATTCCTATCAAAATACCAACAGCATTTTTCACAGAACTAGAACAAATAATCCTAAAATCTGTATGGAACCACAAAAGACCCTGAACAGCCAATCGTGAAAAAGAAAAAAGCTGGAGCTATCACAAGCCCAGATTTCAAACTATACTACAAAGCTACGGTAATCCAACCAGTATGGTATTGACACAAAAACAGACTCACAGATCAATGGAACAGAATAGAGATCCAAGAAATAAACCTATGAGTATATGGACAATTAATCTACAACAAACGAGTTGAAAATATACAATGGGGAAAAGATAGTCTCTTCAACAGTGTTGGGAAAACTGGACAGCTACATACAAAAGAATGAAAGTGAACCACCTTCTTAAACCATATGCAAAAATAAATTCAAAATGGATTAAATATCTAAATGTGAGACCTGGAACCATAAAACTCCAGAAAAAACATAGGCAGTAAACTCTTAGACATCAGCCTTAGCAATATTTTTCAGGATATGTCTTCTCAGGCAAAGGAAATAAAAGCAAAAATAAACTACTGAGACTATATCAAACTAAAAAGCTTTTGTAGAACAAAGAAAATCATCAACAAAACAAAAAGGCAACTTACTGAATAGGGAGAATGTGCAATATCCAAAATATATAAAGAACTCATACAACTCAATACCAAAAAAAAAATCATCTGATTAAAAATAGAGGACCTGAGTATACATTTTCCCAAAGAAGACTAGGATGGCAAACAGACACATGAATAGATGCTCAATATCACTAATCACCAGGGAAATGCAAATCAAAACCACAATGAGATATTATCTCACACCAGTCAAAATGACTAATTTCAAAAACACAAGAAATAATAAATGTTGGCAAGGATGTGGAGAACAGGAAACCCTCATGCACTATTGGAAGGAATGTAAATTACGTAGCTGTTATGGAAAACAGTAGGAAGGTTTCTCAAAAATTTAAAGATTAAAATAACACATGAGGGGTGCCTGGGTGGCTCAGTCGGTTGAGCATCTGGCTTCGGCTCAGGTCATGATCTTATGGTTCATGGGTTCGAGCCCTGCGTCAGGTTCTATGCTGACAGCTCAGAGCCTGGATCCTGTCTTTGGATCCTGTGTCTCCCTCTCTCACTGACCCTCCCCTGCTCACGCTGTCTCACTCTCCCTCAAAAATAAATAAAACAAGGGGCACCTGGGCGGCTGAGTTGGTTAAGCATATGACTTCGGCTCAGATCATGATCTTGTGGTTCGCAGGTTCGAGCCCCACATCAGGCTTTGTGCTGACAGCTAGCTCAGAGCCTGGAGCCTGTTTCAGATTCTGTATCTCCTTCTCTCTCTGACCCTCCCCTGCTCACGCTTGTCTCTCTCTCTCTCTCAGAAATAAATAAAACATTAAAAATCATTTTTTAAAATAAATAAAACATTACAAAAAAATTTTTTTAAATAACACATGATCCACTTCTGGGTATTTACCCAAAGGAAACAAAAACACTAATTTGAAAAAGATATATGCACTCCTGTGTTTACTACAGTATTGTTTACAATATCCAAAATATAAAAGCAACCTGAATGTCCATCATTAGATGACTGGATAAAAAAGATGCAGTACCTACATACAATGGAATATTACTCAGCCATAAAACAGATTGAGATCTTACCAATCACAACATGGATGGACGTAGAGGGTATTATGCTAACAGAAGTCAGACAGGAGAAAGACAAATACCGTAACATTTCACTTACATGTGAAATCTAAAAAATAATACAGAGAAGAAACTGGGGAGGAGAAAACAGGCAAAATAGGTGAAGGGGCTTGGGAAGGGCAAACTTCCAGTTATAAAATAAGTAAGTCAGGGGGATGGAAAATACAGCACAGGAAATATAGCAAATAACATTGCAATAACTTTTATGGTGACAGATGGTAACCACATTTACTGTGGTAAGTACTGTGTAAAGTATATAATTGTCAAATCACTATGCTGTACACCTGAAAATAATATAATATGGTATGTCAACTATACTTCAATTAAAAATTAAAGTTAATTTGATTTATTTATTTTTTTTATTTTTTTTAAAATGTTTTATTTATTGCTGAGAGAGAGAGAGAGAGAGAGAGAGAGAGAGACACAGCGTGAGCAGGGGAGGGTCAGAGAGAGAAGCAGATACAGAATCGGAAGCAGGCTCCAGGCTCTGAGCTAGCTGTCAGCACAGAGCCCGACACGGAGCTTGAACCCATGAACCATGAGATCATGATCTGAGCTGAAGTCGGACACTTAACCAAATGAGCCACCCAGGCGCCCCTAATCTGAATTTTTAAAAATGCTTGAAAGTCAGATTAACTTGTTTATAGGACTTATAATTTTAAATATCTAACATAGTTTTCCCAAGTGGAAAGCTGTTTCAAATGTGCTCTATTTCTAACAAATTATGGGTAGCATAAAAAACAATAGTAAAAAGAAGCTATTTATAGAGCATACTTGTTTTCCTGTACAATATTTGAAATATACACATCTTCTGCTAGGAAAAATTGACCATTTTTATACAAAAAATACACAAAATTCTCACTGTATGGTCAGAGAAACATATAGACTTTAGTAGTTCAAAAACTTCAAAACTGTATTTATTATATCTTCAGCATAGGTCTTAAGCATATTACACGTAATATTTGCTAATTTCCACCTTCATCTGCTTTAATGTATGTAGGCATTTTATCTGAAAGATATAAAAAGTTAATTATATATAATATGATAGCTAAAAAATATAGCATCTTGGAACTTGTAACTCAAAGTTCATCACATTTTAAAAAAATGTTTATTTAGTTATTTTGAGAGAGACAGAGAGTGCACACAAGTGGGAGAGGGGCAGAGAGGAGAGAAGGAGAGAAAGGCTCCCCACTGTCAGCACAGAGCCCAATGCCTCTTGATCTCACAAAATGTGAAATCATGACCTGAACCAAAATTAAGAGTTGGACACCCAACCTACCGAGCCTCCCAGGCACCCCGAAGATCATCACATTTATTACTCTTCTCATTTAAAGAGAAGGAAAGGCAGACTTAATAAAATTAACTTACTTTTCATGGGTTACAAAGTTTGTTGTCTGAACTTACAGGCTGGCTTTCTGGCATTTGCAATTCTAATAATAATTTTTTATTTGACCAAATAGTCAACCTTCTCTCAAAGGCCCTTTTTAGGCTAAGGCATACAGAAAATAATATACAATAGATTTACTTGTCTCAAATTTTATCATTACAAAGCTTTTAAAAAGCAAAAGCAGGGGCACCTGGGGGGCTCAGCTGGTTAAGCATCTGGCTTTTGATTTTGGTTCAGGTCATGATCTAACAGTTCATGTTTAGAGGCCCACCTTGGGGTCTGTGGTCTGCTTGAGATTCTTTCTCTCCCTCTCTCTCTGTCCCTAACCCCTTGGTGCTTTCGTTCTCTCAAAAGAAACTTTAAAAAAAAAAAAAAAAAGGCAAAAGCACGGCTTATCAAAAAAAAAAATCCATCTAACATAAACTTCACTTAAAGATACGTCCCATTTAAAACATGTTCTAAGAATTCTGACAAGAATTTTCATGTTTTCATAATACTAACTTACCAAAAGTTGTTCCACCAGTTTCTTAACATTCTGCCCCATTTCTGGGGACTGTGATCCACTACACGCTAGTTTTATTAACATGGCAAGGAAGTTCTTACATTTCTTCACATTTTCTAGCATCGCCTAAATAAAGAAATATATATAAACACAAATGTTAGCTAGAAAACAGAATTCAAGAAAATGTGTCAAGGGCTATATTCATGTAAGGTAGAAGTGAGAGCTTACCGGAGAAAGATCTGCCTGAGCAGCTACTGAGTTCTCTGCTTTGAGACTGGACTCATTTGACAGGGCAGGTGATGCTCCCAAAGTTGAAGGCTTCAAGGTAGTTACAGAATTCAAGGGCTTTCCAGGAGTAACTGTGACAACATTGGTTGGCACAGCCACAGACTGAAATGAAAAGTAGTGTATATTTAGATACATTTCTATAATATATATCACAGTTGGTGCCTTATTTCACACTTATCAGACTACAAATGGATCTTGACATCTTCGCTTTCATGTTATGCTCTACTAGTGTGAGGCAATGGCACACTTCTGTAAGAGCTCTGGACTTAAACAGATCTGGGTTTCATTCTCATCTACCTACCTACTTTTTATTGACACCTACTGAGTGTTGCCCTCAAGCAAGTTACTTAATCTTGCTAATCCTTTGACTTCTGTCTGTAAAAATATAAGGACAGAAATGGTACCTACCTACTCTCCTAGGGTTGTTTGTGAAAAACAGTATCAAGCATATGGTCCTCAAAAACCATTATTAATACTTCTCTAAAAAGAATTTGAAATAGTAAGTCTTTATATGAAAATACAGAATTTCCTATTCCGTAATTTTTCTGCTTTTTCTTAAGTATAAAGCAGAGAGATCTATTGATATTATATTCAGGTAAGCTACTTTTATTAGACTACTAGAGGAAACATAACAAATATTACAAACTGTGATATCTTATTTTAACAGTGAAAAAAATTTTGGTTCTTTTTTCTACCCTCTATAGAAATGAAGTGTGATTCTAGCACCACCTGCAGGATAAAAAGTCTAATACAAGAAATCACATGTCAGGCAGTTAAAAATGTAGATAACTATACTGAAATAAAGCAAAAATCTTATTTTAAAACAAACACTGAAAGTTACAGAACAGGAGTCAAGTTTAGGGGGGATGAGGAGACAAGAGTATTTTCAATTCACACAGAAAACTAAACAATGCACCATCACTTTAACTGAAATACTTGTATTCTAAGGCAATACTTGTATTCTAAGGCATACAACACAAAAAGGGCAGGTTGCGATTACCTTCAAGGAAATTTCCTTTGGTAACAGTCACAATAAGTGAATTCAAAATTTCCCACTTTAGAATAAGTACTGGAGCATGTATTAGATAAGCGTGTTTTAAGGGTAAAAAATGGAAAGAAATTAAAAACCCTGATTAGTGAATGATGAAATGTTAAGCAAAAAATTAAAAACTGCACCTAAGTCAGTAAAATCTTATTAAATACAAGCAGATCTCAAAGGCAATAATGAAAAGGAGTTCCCTTCCTATTCCCAGCCTTAGTCTTGCTCTTCAAAGACAACTACTGTGCAGTTTCTCTGAATCTTTTTGGACACTGTCTAAAAAACTTTTTTAGGTCAATGTACAATAATGAAACATTCTTTCTTCAGTTGAGTCTATATTCAGTTGAGTCTAGATTTATACTCTGCCCTTAACTACTTATACTACCTTATTTAAGAACATACAATCTAAAACTTTAGCTGGTGATTATGATTACCTTCCAGGACCAAAGGGAAGCATTCCTTGGGGAAACCTCAGGGTTCCTCTCCCTTATGAAGCAAAATAGGCTCAATGAAATGTGAGCTCCAGAAAAAGCATCCTATTTTTTGTGAACAGATGAAGCATTTATGGCACTTCTACTTTCTTTGTCAATGCTTAATTGTCTCTAGTACAAAAATCTGTCCTTCGTAACTCTTTCTAATATAGTTACTAGCTGTACCTTACCAGATATCCACATCTTCCATGACAATTCTGCCTCTTAAAAGACATAGAGAGGTACACAATCCCAGTCTTACTCTATCTACACAATCCCACTGCAGTAATGGATGGACCAACTCAAACTCAATCATAACTCCTGATATTCTAGACCAGCCCATGGTATTTCCATGCTTTGCAAGACCACACTGGCACTGATTATGAATGTCTAGGGGGCATGACCCAGAAGGCACAGGTGAAGTGCAAACTCAGAGGCAATACTCAATGAGGATGGGATTTTATCTTCCAAGACTCAATGTACTCACTGTATCAAGACATCCTTCATGGCACTATGTCTCTGACAGGACAAATACATGAAAATCAAGGACAAAGGAGTAAAGGGATGAATGGAATCACTTATCACTCCTGAAGACATGCTGCGGGACCCTGTACTTACCATTTCTGCCTGCAAGGGGCACACTTTCACCAGAGGACACAGCAAGAGTTCCCATAAACTAGACACCATGGCTGCCTCCTGGGCACCTCAGGTTCCTTGTGTCCAGGGAACAGCAGTAAAGAGCTTATCACAAAAGGGTAAGTGACCTGATCTCTGGGAAAGGTAGGGTTGCTAGCTTACAATGCCGACTGAGAGGAGTATGTGTGGTGAATCCAAGTCATCTACTTAAGTGACTGCTGTTATTTCTTTGCGCAACTGTAATGTTATATGGACAAGTACAGCAACACTTGCCTCAAAAGAGCATGGGGATTAGGACCTCAGACCCCTCAGGGATGAAGGTCTGGTCCCACTACCAGTTAAGCTACAAAGACCAGCAGAGTTATAGGATAGTAATGGATGGAGATGAAGAGTATCAGCCACAGCTGTAGTTCATCCTACTAACCTCCTCTGTTTCCCCTAGGAAGAAATCCACTGGAATTTCGAAAGATCTGGTCTTCAACAATATTTGAGGAAGTAGTTCCCAGTGATACAAGGAGTAAACTTTGATATACTATCACAAAGAATTCTGTGTTGCCCCAGCTGTTGGGAATGCTATTATATAGCCTACAGGTGTCCGTTCTTTCAGGGTTTGCCTCAACTACAGAGAGTTACCTTGCCCAACAGCACAACTCTCCCTGTGGAACTGACATCCAGTGACTTACCACAGAGGAGGAATTATGGCCCAGCTGACCAAAGCTAACACATAGGACAACTCCAACAAGCCATATTTGCTCCAATGTTCCCCACCCGATTGATGCAAGTTTTACTGGGCCTGCATCTAGTTCAAAGTCTTATTCTCCTTCTCTTCCGCAGGTATCAATGACTAATAAGTATCCCCTACATCAAAATTCTGTCCTAGCACCTGCTTCTAGACACTATCACATGTGGCTATTGGGTGCATTTGTATTAATTTAATACATTCAAGTAAATTTGATAATCCAAGAACATACACTATGTTTATCTTGTGGTTTCCACACCTCCAACAATTCCCACTTTGATAAGTGTCACCAAATATCACTGAATTGCTCTTCAAGGTCACATGGCTGTTCTGACAAACCTATACATCAGGCAGGAAACAGCTAAATAAAGATGAGAGAATAAGCAGTGCACGCATGGACACAAGTCAGTCACAACTTACCTGTACTGAGGAAGGCTTTGGAACAGTGGTTACCACAGTAGTTCCTATTTGTGCCAATTTTTTAACAGGTGCCACTGCCACTTTCTTAACTAACTGTGAACCAGAATTCTGGGTAAGTGGGGGGGAGGGGGGGAGGGGAGAGAGATAATAGAGTCGTAAGCAATAGTAATTTTAAATCAATCAGTACTATGGTAAACATTAAATATTAAAATACTTCAGGGAGCCTGGATGGCTCAGTCAGTTAAGCGTCCACTTTGGCTCAGGTCAAGATCTCAGGGTTCATGAGTTCGAGCCCCACATCAGGCTCTGTGCTGACAGTACACAGACTGGTTTGGATCCTCTGCTCCCTTTCTCTGGCGCTTCCCCACTTGTGCACTCTCTCTTTCTCTCTCAAATAAATAAACATTTAAAAAAAATTTAAAACACTTCACCACAGCAAACTCCTTTGTTATAACTGGCTTTATATAACCTTATAGATTTTAAGCCCATTCTCCACTGTGAACCTAACAGGTCAATTGGCCAATTGACACTATTTCACATCTCTTAAGAAGGCATCTTAACAAAAAATATTACAGTATTTTAGCATTAAAATCTTAAACTTTATTCTTTAGCTCATACAGCAAACATATAGATATTTTTCTTTAAAAATATTTTTTTTTAAGAGAGAACACAAGTTAGGGAGGGGCAGAAAGAAAGAAAGAATCTTAGGCAGCCTCCACACCCAGCTGGGAGCCTAATGCTGGGCTCTGGGCTCAATTTCATGACCCTGAGATCCTGACCTGAGCCAAAACTGAGAGTCAGATGCTTAACCAACAGAGCCACTCAGGAACCCCAAAAACATATGGATTCTTATTTAACATCCTATTATAAAAAAGTCTGCTAACATATTTTCTCAACTCACAGCAGTTAGATAAAGCAAACTAGAAAAGAAAGGGGCAGAGTCACCTGGGAGGCTCAGTCAGTTAAGCGTCTGACTTCTACTCAGGTTATGATCTCACAATTTCTGAATCTGATCCCTGCTTTGGGCTCTGTGCTGACAGCTTGGAGCCGGAAGCCTGCTTCAGATGCTGTTTTCTTCCTCTCTCTCTGCCTCTCCCCCCAACTTGTGCTCTGTCTCTGTCTCTCTCTCAAAAATAATAGACAAAAAAAAGGGAAGGAGCAGCTATCATTGAAAGATACAGTAACAGAGAAAATGGTTGGGAATCTAGAATCAAATATTAGAGAAAGGAGAGCACAAAATGGGGGGTGAGGGTGGTAGACAAAACTGGCAAAGAATTTACCACAGTACACTATGCAATCTTTCATTAGGATGAAACTGACTCCTCAAGAAAATGCTACTACATTCAGCATTTTTTATTTTAATAGAGTTAGATGCTATAAAAAAATATTTATTTTTTTAACCTCTGCCACACAAGCTTCAGTTACCTAGAAAGATTATCATGTATGTAAAATAAACCATTTTCTAATAACTGAATTAGTGAAATATTACAGACTTCTTAAGTCATTCCTGTAAGATATGGATACAAATGAATAGTATAAAACTGTAGTGTTAATGTTTTACCACAAATTAGAATTGAAGCATAATGATTATTTTCTTTCCATTTAGACATGCAAATAGCCCTTGTAACTAACACTCCCTTGAGAAACACAAATCTTCAAGTATGAAGACTGAATCTTTACTATTTTAGCAATTACCAAATGACAAAACCAAACATCTTGATTAACACATTCAAAGAAAGTGGCTAAATTCAACAAGTTGAGCAGAATCATCTATTATTTCTGTTCACAAATACACATATTTACATGAAGATAATAGCTAGAAAACCAATAATAATAATAATAAAAAAAAAACCCTAAGATATATTACCGGCACTGTACAAATTTTGACTGTATGAGTATTCATTGGTACAGCTGGCCTTGAAGTTATGTTACTAGTGGTCTCTGCTCTTGTCACAGCTTGCTGAGGAGACACCAACATCAATTGGCCACTGTTACTTTTGATTAAAACTGTTCCTAGAATTAAAAGAAAAAAACATGACCTGTAAGCTAATAAACATAATCATCATATATTTTGTGTTCTGACCATTTCTTTCAACACTATAAAATATTCTGAATAAATATTTAATACACACTAAATTTCATGTATACTAGCTACCATATATAATATAGAAAAATGTTTTCACTCAAAGCTACTTAAAATACTAAAAGTCCAAGCCTAAGGCCCATACTCTTGAAGAAGCCAAAACACTTTTTCTATATGACATCAAACTGTAAAACTACAGTAAGTAAGATGATATGGTAATGGCATCAGACTACACAAAGTGACCAATGGAATAAATCAGAGAATTTCAAAGTAGACTCAGGCAGATATATCATATCAAATCTTCCTAAGAGGCACTGCAGATTAGTAAGGAAAAGAGCAGACTATTCAATAAGCATGGCTGGGTCAATTAGTTATTTATATGGAAAAGATTAAAAGTATCATACCACATACAAAACCCCTAGGGCATTAAGAATACAAAAGTAAAAAGTAAAACCTTTTAAACTCTTAGATAATGTACAAAATTTGCTGAACTTGGGATACGGAGAATTTCTTAAATAAATTTGATACATTCTACTATACCAAAAAACCACTTTTGTTTAGCACAAGACACCATGAAGTAAAAAAAACAAACTACTAAACGGAAAAAAGTTTTTAGTTCACTTATGTTCGAAGAATGAATATCCAAAATGCACAAAAGAAACACAGATGCCAATGATAGGGAAAGGTAAATTAAGACCACAGTGAGATATCACTTTATATCTACCTGGACAGGCAAAAACTAAGAAGTCCAAAGACCACATTAAGTGTTAGAAAAATGTACAGCGACAGGAACTCTAATATCTTAACGATGGTAATGTAATATGGTAGAATTGTCTGTTCAACTTTACACGAGTGTGCCAAATTCATTCCCATTTGCACTCTCTAACCCAGCAGCATTTCTAATCTAAAGAAATTCCTGTCCATGTCAGTAGGAGGCATAAACAAGAATATTCACAGCTGAAGTTCCATTTCTAAAATGGGAGCATAAAGAGCTCAACAAACCTGCTCCCTAGCAAAGCAAGCATAACTGGTGAAAATTATCTTTAAAAACAGTATTTAAAGTCTTTGGAAACTACCTGAAGGCATACAGAAAATGACTACACCATTATTATAGAGGATTTATTAAACTCAGTAAAAACAGCAAGAATCTGTGGCATCTGAACCATGCATGACCTGCTCCCTTTTCCTTCTCAGATCAGGCAGTGTGGTCAACACAGGGCCTCCTCCTCTCCCAAGCTCCCAGATGAGGGCTATGGTATCTTCCCTGGGAGGAGCAGGCCACCAGCATTTCTGATCTCTCCACAATGAGGTGCAGACAACAGAGGACAAATTTGAGTTAAGTGCATCCAGAAGTTTCTAGGGTTCATCTTTTACTCATCTCCACTCAATAAAGGAAGGCTCTACCTCAGGGATGGCACATTAAAACTATCTGGACCCCAGTCTCCTTCACCCCAGTTATTTTGTAGGAGTTATCCTATGCTGGGAGAGGTAAGCAGATAAGTGCACATGGTACATTCTCCAGACAGACCACATGTTAGGGCATAAAATAAGCTCCAATAAATTTGAAAAGACTAAAATCACACAACGTATAGTCTCCAACTACAATGGAATGAAATTTGAAATCAGTAACAAAAAGAAATTGAGGGGAATTCACAAATATTTAGAAATTAATTACTTTTAAGTAGTCAGTTGGTCAATGGAGAAATCATAATAAGGGAAATTGGAAAATACTTTGAAAGCAGTGAAAATGACATAATATGCCAAAATTTATAGAATGCAGCTAAAGCAGGGCTTAGTGGGCGATTTATAGTTATAAATAATGGTATAAAAAAGAAAAAAGATTCAAATCAATAACTTAAACTTCCATCTTAAGATACTGGGGGAGGGAGGGAAGCAAAATAAAAACTAAACAAGGAGATGAAAAGAAATTAATGAAGATTAGAGCAGAAGTAAAGAGAGTATAAAAACAATTGAGAAAAAGAAAAACAAAAGTTGGTTCTGGGAAAAGACCAGCAAAAGTGAAAAACCTTTACCAGACTGCTGAAACTACTAACCAAGAATGAAAAAAGTAAAAAAAAAAAAAAAAGAGGACATTACTACTAACCTTATAGAAAGACAGATAAAGGAATACTATTAGCAACTGTAAACCAATAAATTAGATGGCTTATATGAAAAAGACAAATTACTAAAAACAAAACTACTATAACTGACTCAAGAAACAGGCAACCTGAATAGGTCCCTAACAAATGAACTGAATTATTAATCAAAAAGTGTCACAAGATAACCCAGGTCCAGATGGCTTCACTGGTGAAGTCTACCAAACATCCAAGGAAAACTTAATACAAATCATTCAGAAACTCTTCCAAAAAGTAGAAGAGAACGAAACACGTCTCAACTAATACTGTTAGGTCAGTATTACCATGATGCCAAAACTAGACAAAGACATCACAAGAAAAGAGAGACCAGTATGCCTTATGAATATAGATACAAAAGTTCCCAACAAAGTACTAGCAAACTGAATCCAGTAGCACAAAAAAATATTACACTCCATCAAGTAATATCTATCTCAGTGCATACTGCAAAACAACCTATCAACATAGGACAAAACCACATGATCATCTCAACAGAGGCAGAAAAAGCATTTGACAAAATCTAACACCTCTTTTATCACGATGCAAACTCAAAAAATAGGAATAAAAGCAAACTTCCTCAACCTGATAAAAGAGATCTATAAAAGACTCACACCTAATGTAATAGTGAAGGATTACATGATTCCCCTTTAAGATTTAGGAACAAGACAAAGATATCTGTGATGAGGAATGAGACAAGGATAATCTGCAATCACTACTTCTATTCAACACTGTACTCAGAGTTCTAACCAGGGCAATTAAGCAAGAAAATGAAATAAAAGGCATCCAAAGAAAGAAGTCAAATTATCCATTCACAGATAATACAATCTTATATATAGATATCCTACAAATCCATGAAAAACTGTTAAAACCAATAAGCAAGTTTAGCTAAGCAGCAGCATACAGAATTAATCTATAAAAATCAGCTGTATTTTTATATACACTTGCAAAGAATGACTAAATAGAACAAAGAAAACAATTTCATTCACAATAGCACCAAAAAGAAAATTATACTGACAAATTTAACAAAATAAGTATAACACCAATACTCTGGAAACTACCAAATGCCGTTTAAAAAATGTTTTTGAGAAAGATAGAAAGCATTGTCAAGTGAGCAGGGGATGGGTGGAGAGGGAGAGAGAATCTTAAGCAGTCTCTACCCTTAGCAGTGGAGCCCAGGGGATGGGTGGGGGAGTTGGATCTCATGGCCCGGAGATCATGACTGAGGTGAAATCAAGAGTGAGACACGTTGAGCCACTCAGGTGTCCCTGGAAACTACAAAATGCTGTTGAAACAAATTAAAGGCCTAAATAAATCAGGTGGCTCAGTCAGTTAAGCATCTACTTTGGCTCAGGTCATGATCTTACGGTTCGTGAGTTCAAGCCCCACATTAGTCTCTGCTGACAGCTCAGAGCCTGGAGCCTGCTTCCGATTCTGTGTGTGTGTGTGTGTGTCTCTCTCTCTGCCCCTCCCTCACTCATTTCTCTCTCACACACTCTCTCTCAAATAAACATTAAAAAAAAGTGACCTAAATAAATGGACAGACACCCCACATTTGTGGATGGAGAGACTTAATACTTACCTTGCAGGATCATTAAAGGGGATTAAATAAGACAATACTTCTGAGCAGACTTTTGAATTTTAAAGTTATCAATTGTAGTAGTTGTTATGAAAGTCAAAAGGTCTACAATCCAAACTGTTCTTCTACTAAGCACTCAAACAGCAGTAGGAATATTAAAATAGTTGCAGACATACGATACTGAGAATAAAATAATAAGAGTTCATCTAAACTCAATGCTCTTCTGAAGTGTTTATCCCAAAAGTCCAATTCCAATGAGCAATAACCTAGTGAAAAGCACTTACAAACATATAAAGGAAACTGAATACTAGTCTCTCTTCTGAAAACCACCTACCAAGTCTCTATGAATCAAATCCTGATAAATATGATTCATTTTCCAATCGTAAAAAGACAGTTTTGCCTACTTATCCCACAGAAATGTAAAAAGAAAGTAATTATACGTTAGGTTACAGAGCACCTTTCCTCTAAACATATTAAGATGTTAAAGTGTAAAGTGGTCTGGTGTTCACCCTGTCTCTGGTACATAATTTAACATATTCTACCTGTCTGCCCAGTGAACTATTATACGCCAAGGTGCCTTTCCTATTTTGTTTGCTTGCAAGTTGATCTGGATGGCGGCTCTAATTTGTCCATATTCCCAGCAATGGTAAATACTGAAATAGCAGGCCTATTCCTTCTGAAAACTTTAGAATTCATCTATTATTAACTTAATTATCTATACATAATTGCCTGACTGGTGACCTTCTAGTCTCTACTGAAAGAAGTCCAGGATTAGGAGGGTAGAGATGCATAAATGCCACCACTTCACAAGTAGACTAGAAACACAAAGTTATTCCTTAATATGGAACCAAAATAGTCTTCCATATTCAGAGAGAGGGTGGTCCCTTGTGCAATCACACAAAATAAGCCGACTTTCATTACCACAGGACAGTACTTTGAACACTTAAAAGGCAGCTACACAGACCCAAAGCTGCATTCTTGCTCAGGCACCATGGGCCCTATTCCTTTAACTTTTCAAATCAGTTTCCCTTATTGAGCTTAAAGTCACTTAAATTTCTCTCTCATTCTAATAATTCTTTGAGTGAATAAAAGAAAAACTTAAAATCAGTAAGTTTTTATGCCAGATTCTACTACCAGTTATATAGCACATCTCCTCTATCCTCCATTTACAGCTGATTTGTCAAAATAGAACTTCTATTTACCTTTATTAAATATCACCTTT